GAAAAACGACGTAAGTCGAATTTACTTGTCTCCGAATCTACTTGTCACTAGGCTAAACCATAAATTACTATTCCCAGTTCTGTATTTTATTTATTAATGCATTTTTAATAATATATGGTTAATAAGAATCTATTTTAAGCTTACAAACAAATAAATTTCAGTTTTTAATAGAGTACAGAAAAAAGTAATCTAAATTTACGAATGCATGTACTGTTCTGTAAATACAGTACATACTTGTAAATGTATATATTTTAATATGATTTTATGTGCTTTAAACGCTTTTCTAGTGATATTACGAATTCAATATTTGTGGCGGACGGATGTAAAGTCGAATAAAATGACTTAAACTTGATTTTTATTTTTCCGTATACTTTTTTGACAAACAACGTATAATCGGGAACGACGTAACTGGAAACGACGTAAGTCGAGGTATACCTGTACAGGCTTTTCCATATAAAATGTAATCCCTCCATTCACTAACATAATTCTTGTGTTCAAGCCAAACAAACTGCCAAATTATCAAGCTATAATACTGCTAGGTAATTAATTAAATAATAAATAATTTGTCTAGAGGTAGGCAATTATGCTGCCATCTCATGCTAGATTTAATAATAATAATAATAATAATATAATAAATTTTTTTCCTTCTATCAATATAGCTACCAATTTGGCTGTTAATGAGGACTTATCATACCACAATTAAAAAAGAACTTTATTTTTTTTAATTAACTCCAAAATGTACATTTTGATCTTTTGGTCATGAGTTGGAGTAGACAATTTTTATAAAAATTGTAAAGTTTTCCATATATAGTTTTTCTTTTGAGTACGAGTTTACAAAACTAAATAATAGTTCCAACTTTGTAAAATCATATTTGGAAGAAGAAAACTATATATGGAAAATTTTAAATTACAATTTTATGAAAATTGTCTACTTCAGTTGAAAAGAGGTCAAAAGATCCATTTAGTATTTAATTAATTACATAGCAATATTATATATATTTGGCTCAATAATTTGGCAGTTTGTTTGGCTTTAACTATAAATCAGTTCATTTATATCTTGTATGTTCCTTGTTGTTAATAACAGAACCTGTCTAAACTTCATCACCAGTATATTTAGCTGAAGTCTTATTAGGAGCTTTACTTTCTAAGTACTTCTGACAAAATCATTATGCACTGTACTCAAACATCACATATGCAAATAAGTCTTGATGATAAAAACCAAATTCCTCTTGCAAATACATCCATTTTCTCTCTTGCACAGTACTGAGAACATTGCTTGCAATGTAACTGCTATTGGGAAGAGTCTATTGATTTGGCAGGATAGTCATATGTTAAACAAGTTGATTCCAGCACGTAGTATTGTGTTTTTGTTGGGTGATTCATATTTCCCAGTACACTAATAGATTTCATTTTATATGGGACATATTGTATGTAATGTAATATATATTCTTAAGTTGGTTAAAATCATTTATTATATTACTGAATTATATTATATTCTAGAGTTTATATTTTGAGATTTTTGTTTTGTATGAATTTAGAATTCTAATTTATAGTAATTAATATTTACTGTAATTTTGAAAATTTTAAAGTAATAATTTGTTATAAATTTTTTAAGGTTTTAGATACAGATTATGAAAATATTGATACAAAAAATAAACTGGAAATAAGTTTTGCTCTGTATTCTCCTCAAGGAAAGAATCTTATTTCTGAGACAAAAAAATCTGATGGAATACATAGGCAAGTTTATTACAAAATTTTAACTTTTTTGGAAAACTATTGTCATTTTAAAAATTTTAGTAAAATCTTCAATTTAGTTAAGTAAAACTATTTATTTTGCAAACTTGATAATATAAATGGTTAATTATTTATAATGAATATAATATATTTCTTAAAAATCTTCTTCTTCAGTTGATATCCTCTGAAATGGTTTTTGGACAATTTCAAATGACCAAAATTATTTTAAGTAATTGAATGATACATATCATTTTTAAAATCATTTGATAAATTAATTAACAAAATACTTTTTAGATATAGGCCTATTTGAAATAACAACAAGTAATATAAAATCAAATACATGCTATTAATACTTTATCATTCAAATAGAATATGTATTCAAATATGACAAATGTAATAAAAACTTTTTAATGTTAAAAGATATATTTGTTATTTACTAAATAATTTAGAATATTCTGGATGGAAGAAAAGAATTGGCCTGGAGCTGGACTTGA